CCAGCCTTGCTCAGGACTGTTCTGTCCTCTCTCTTTTCTGGCCCTTCTACATCCCACCTTCTTCAAAGGCCACTTCCTTCAGGAAGGCTTCCCTGATGCTTCCCCGAACCAAAAGCTTCCTCTGTATCAATCAGAGGTCAGCTGCCTGGTGTCACTCCCTCCCCCAAGATTCCACACGGGCTGGGACCGTGTGATTCAGCTGATGTCTCCACAGCTCCCAGCCCCACACCTGACCTGTGGGAGATGCTCAGGGGTCAGATGTGATTCCAAACAGAGCCCCGAGGGCTAGCCTTGTGGCTCAACCAGTTAAGCCACTGCCTGCAACGTGGGCATTCCATGTGAGCACTGATTCCACTTCCGACTCTTCGGCTTCCCATTTAGCTCCCTGTAGCGGGCATGAGAAAGCAGCAGAAGACGGACCAAGTTTTTGGGCCCTTGTGCCCACATGGAACACCCAGATGGAGTTCCAGGCTCCAGGCTTCAGCTTAGCATGCTGTGCCACAAGGCCAGCCCACTTTCAAATGATTGAATTTATGTTCTAGCAGTTTGACCTGCATAAGACAGAGACAAAGACTGACTAGAATTCTCAACTCACTCACATGCTCACTCCAAATTGTACATTTCTTAAGATTTATTTGTTTATGGGCCTGGAGCAATAGCTCAGTGGCTAAAATTCTCACCTTGCACACACTGGCATCCCATATGGGGCACAGTTCATGTCTCGGCTGCTCCACTTCCTTCCCAGTTCCCTGCTTGTAACCTCAGAAAGCAGTAGTGGACAACCCAAACCTGCATGAGAGACCCAGAAGAAGCTCCTGGTTCCTGGCTTTGGGACAGCCCAACTCCAGCTGTTGAGGTCACTTGGGGAGTGAACCAGTAGATTGCCGCTCTTTTTCTTTATCTCTCCTTCTTTCTGTAAATTTGCCTTACCAATAAAAATGTCAGAGAAAAAACTAGAATAAAAGAAAAAGAAAATTAAAAAGAAAGAGAAAAAATATATTTATATATCAGAGATGCAAAGTGGGAAAAACCTGGAGAGATGTTTCAATCCCTAATGGTCACAATCGGCCAGGACTGTACCAAACCAAAACCAGGAGCCAGGAGCTTCTTCACGGTGTCCCACGTGTGTGCAGGGTCCCACGTACTGGGGCCATCTTCCACTGTTTCTCCTAGGTGCATTAGCAGAGAGCTGGATCAAAAGTGGAGCAGCCTGGGGTCAAACCAGGACTCCAGTGTCACAGGCAGTAGCTCTACCAGCTATACCACAACACTGATCCCTAACTGTTCATCTTAAAATGGTTCTTAAAGGCCCAGCGTGGTAGCCTAGTGGATAAAGTCCTCGCCTTGCATATACCGGGATCCCACGTGGGCGCCAGTTCATATCCCAGCTACTCCATTTCCCATCTAGCTCCCTGCTGGGAGCTGGGAAAGCAGTAGAGGATGGCCCAATGCCTTGGGATCCTACACCCATGTGGGAGACCCAGAAGAAGCTCCTGGTTCCTGGCTTTGGATCAGCTCAGCTCCAGCTGTAGCAGCCACTTAGGGAATGAACCAGTGGATGGAAGATCTTTCTCTCTGTCTTTTCTTCTCTCTGTAACTCTGGCTTTCCAATTTTAAAAAAATCTTAAAAAACCAAACTGGTTCTTAATATATTATATGAATTTCACTTCCAATTAAAGAAAGAGAGGAAGGAAGGAAGAGAGAGGGGAAAAAAAGTAATCTGGCACAGTAGTGTGGCAAGTTAATCCTCTGCCTGTGGCACCAGCACCCTAAATGGGAGCCGGTCAAAGACCCGACTGTTCCACTTCCCATCCAGCTCCTTGCTTATGGCCTGGGAAAGCAGTAGAGGATGGCCCAAGTCCTTGGGAACCCTGCACCCGAGAAAAAAAGGGAGAGTGCTACCCAGAGGAGGTGTCTCAAACCAGACTTTAAAGAAATAGAAGCCCAGGGCTTCAGGAGAAGAGAGAAGGAGTGGCCAGCAAGTCCCACTGGAGGCTGAGTCTGAGCAGCAGCCAAGACCAAGCAGCACTTGGCGAGGAGGCCACAAGGGGCCGGGCCAGGCTGTGGGTTGCAGTTGCCACGACAGGATGCAGTGGTTCAACCCCACAGGCCTCTGGCCCGCCCAGTCTTACTGTCTTCCCATCCACTCCAGCCCACCCCAGCCTTATCACATTGCGTTCCTGTGCAGTCACGGCCCACACTCAAGTCCTGTGACTCATGACCCAAAAACAGCCAGGAGCTTCGTCCCCCTACCAGGAAGGGTGGCGTCTGGAATTCTCCACTCATGCTGGGCAGGTGGGTGGTGCCCTCCCAGCTGTGGCCTCTTCCTCCTCCTCCTTCTCCTCCTCCTCTGCTTTCCTCCAGCTTGTGACTTGCTCCCTCCCAGCCCAGGGGCCACTCCCAGCTCCCCTCCCTGCAAGGCTGCCCTTTGCTACTCTGGGCCCCTGCAAGTCTCCAACCATCTCTATCCAACATGACATTCAGTGCCTCAGCCCTGGAGAGCCCTGGAGAGCCAGACACCACAATCAACACTGGCCGAGTGTCAGGTGCACACCCGGAGAACTACTGCAAGACCCAGGAAAGTAGGGGAGGAGGGTGCCATTTCCAAAGTGTTTAACAGCAGTGGGGCGGCCAGAAACCCACCCAAATTCTGCAGCAGCAATCACAGCATGTGCGATGTGCACCAGTAATTCAGGAGTCTGTGCAGGGGATATTCTACTGCCCCTGCCACGCTCACTCATGGTGAACTTGGAAGCAGGGACAGCTGTGCCCAGAACAGGACGCAAACATACGGTCCAGCAGGAAGAACTGTAAACATGGGCATGCCAAGCAGGATAGGACCATGTCACACAGGAATGGTCTCATGTCCCAGGCCAAGGGGTAGAGGCCCAGAGTGAGCAAGAGGACATTGAAGATGCGGGGGGAAACAAACAGCTCTAGGCACACCAGGGCAAGACTCCAAGCTCTGCCTCCACCCTGCCCGGCTCTGCACCAATGCTTGAGTGAGGCTGTCCAGGGGTGCAGGGGGAGCTGGCAAGGACATCCCAGGCCTGCCGCCACATCACAAGACCCCTCTGAGAGGCGAGGGGACCCAGATGAAGCTCCTGGCCATCCAAGCAGTTGTTCAGGGAATAAATGAGCAGATGGAAGATCCTTCTCTGTCGCTCCTTCTCTCTGCAAATCTGTTTTTCCAATAAAAATAAAATAATATATTAGAAAAAAAATCTCACTTGGGAGGGCTACATCCCATACAGGTATGTCAGGCTCAAGGCTGGCTCCACTGAAGGGTGCTAGGGCAGAGGGCTGGAGGGGTGGAGCAGCCTTTAGTCCTAAGAAGGGTGAATGGGTGACAACCCAGCAAGGGACATTCTGATGCCTCGGGGAACTCCAGGGAACAGGCCAGGTCCTGGGGCTCCCTTTCCTTGGGGTTAGAAAACCAGGGTAGAGTTTGGGGTTCAACTGGCCAGGAATTCACACCCCAGATGTTACTTACTACTGGAGGCCCGAGATACTCAGCTGCCTCCGTGATAGGGGAGCAGGTACCCCACGGATCTCCACAGGAGGTAATGACCCGGATCCTGTTCTGCTTCTGTGTGCACCAGCCCGCCGACCCACGGGACCTGTCAGCCTGGGCAGGGCACCTGGGCCACAGGCTCTGTGCTGCTGCATCACCATCCCCATAAACATGGAAGTAAGGAGTAATGCACCTGCCTTCTGTGGCCTGTACTGCTCAGAAGTACAGGGGAGCTCATCTGGGTCCCACAAGGGCCCAAATCCAGCTGTCTGCCAGACCCCACTCCTGCCTCAGACTTTGGGGAGAATCTGCAGAATTCAGACCCACACAGCTGTTAGGACTATGGGCCTGGTTGCCTTCCTGGAGCAGCTGTTGGTTGGTAGTGTTGCAGGGTTTTCGACCCCGAGTACGTCAGCAACATCAATTCTTGTCTCACAGAAAGAATCTTCTTGCGGACACAGTTTAGTTTTAAAGCAAGATTTATTCAAAAAACTGAGAAGAGGAGCTCCTGATCTAGTGATAGGCAGGAGCTTCAAGACAGAAAAATCCGTTACCTCCTGCCACTGTGGCAGGGGAAAGACAAAAAGCTCGACTTCCTGCCATAGTGGCAGCAGGAGGAAAGAAAGAACAACCCGAATTAATGGTGGGGGGAGTGGAAGAGACGGGGAGGAAGCTCCTGGCTTCAGATTGGCTCAGCTCTGCCCATTGTGGCCATTTGGGGAGTGAACCAGCAGATGAAAATCTTTCTGTAAAATCTGCCTTTCAAATCAAAAAAAAATTTTTTTAAACGGAATACTGGAAGACACATATCTGCCGCACCCCACACACAGACACACACCCACAGGGCTGCTCAACACAGTCCTACGGCTTAAATACACTTTATAGGTGGAGCACCTGACCCTGAGCAGGGCACAATGAAAGTAACCATGAGTCAAAATGCTGCAGATGCGCGTGGTCTTCAAAAAGTTCACGGCCAATGTGTTCTGTGAAAAAGCGACACACATTTCCAAACGTGGAAGCTGGTGTTGTGCCACAGAGGGTTAAGGCACAGTTGGCAATCCAGGATGCTGGTTTTCCAGGCTTTGCTGGGAAGGCCCCACTGTGGGTGTTTGGGCTGGTCTCCTTCCTACAAATGCTGCTAGCTAATAGGACTTCCTGGACAGAAGGACAAAAGTGTGTGTGTGTGTGTGTGTGTGTGTGTGTGTGTGTGTGTGTGTGTGTGTGTGTGTGTGTGTGTGTGTGTGTGTGTGTGTGTGCGCGCGCGCGCGCGCGCGCTAAGGGCAGGGGAGGAGGCTAACTCCAGGCAAAGGGGCACAGCCTCCGCCCTGGAGCTTCCAAGCGCGGGGCGATAAGAGGGGGAAGGCCGCCACCTTCCCTAAGCCACCCGGGGCGGCGCTTCCCCCTGATCCTTCCGTCCCGGGCAGGGGCGGCCCCGGGAAGCCCCGCCCCGCGCCCCGTGGCCTCCGCGGGCCGCCCAGGCCCCGGGTCCCCGAGCCAGTGTCCGCCGCGCGTCGCCGCGATGTGGGTCGCGCTGCCGCTGCTCTGCGCCCTGGCCTGGCTGCTGGGGGACCCAGGCGCCGCTACGCACTCGGTGAACACTTTAGGTACGCGAACTGGGCCCCGGGGCAACCGGGCAGCGTCCTCCTCCACACCCCAGGCACCCTCAATCAGGACCCGGGCGCAGAGCTTGTGCGCGTCGGAGTCTGGGGTCCGGGAGGAGTCGTCGCCGGGGTGGGATGTTGGAGGCTTCCGGGAAGAGGGGCAGGTGGGCCGGGGGCCAGGGCATCCACGGAGTGCCGGAAGGGGGGTTCACGGGGTGCCGCGGGTCCCTGGTCTTACTTGCGCGACCGCGCTGGAGCCCAGAGGAGCGGAGAAGCCGTCGGTTTCTCTGCCCGCCAGCCCGCGCTGGGCCGTTGAGGACTTTGAGCAGAGGTGGAGAGCTGGGACTTCCCTGCCTTCCCTTGGCGGCTTTCTGGATGGCCATGACCGTCTTGATTGTTATGTCTGCAAAATGGGTTGGCCGAGCTGTTGGCAGGAGCGGGTACAGCTGCGCCAAAGTGAATGGCCTGAGCCACAACGCTTTTAGCCCTGAGATCAGGCTGCGGAATCGCCTCTCCGCAGGATTTGGCTATGGCTGGGCCAAACTTGCACCCCTTTGCCTCTTCCAACGTCCCATGCTGCCCTTCTGCCCTGGCCTCACCACAGGGCCTCTGAGCTAACCAAGACCACCTGCCCGCATCTCCTGGGGAACAGAAAAACCCGAGGCTGGCGGCGGGGTGAGGAACAGAGACCTTTTTTTTGGGGGGGGGGTCAGCCCCCAGCCGTTTGCTGCAGGACACTCCAAGCCTTGTGACTGCCTGGAGGAGACCTAGGAGTCGCAGCTGCCAGCAGGGCAGGCTTCCACTGTGGTCCGCAGATGGCCTACATGTTGGGAGGGAGGGAGGGTTCCGCCTTCCTCCCCCCCCACCCCCGATTCTATAAAGGGGAGACAGTAAATGTTTCAGCTTTGTGGCCGCCTGTGTAGTGAGAAGCAACCACAGACAGGATGCAAATGAATGCATGTGATTTTGTTCTGAGAATGGTGTGTTCAAAGACCCTGAGTGAAATTTGAATTTCAAGTGATCGTCTGGGGCTACGAAAAAAATCTTTTTCAACCAGGTTAAAACTGGTATTAAAAAATAAAAAGAAGGAAAAAAAAAAAAAAGGAAAGAAACACCACGTGAACTTAGCAGGCCCTATGGGGTTACTTCCTGCCCTACTGCTGCTGCGCTAAAAAACCCTTCCCCGGTGTCTATTGATAGACACTTATTTGATAGGAAGATATCTCAGCTTGGTCAGCAACATGAGGTTCCGCCCTGCCCCTACTCCTGCTGGCCTGTCTTTGCACCTGCTGACCTCTTGAGACTAAGAGGCCCTCTGGGAGCTGGTCTTGGCTTTTGAAACCCCCTGGGGGTAAACCTTGCCCAGTGGTCTAAGCTCCATCCTGCCTCAGTCCTGTGCCTGCCAGTCTGCCTCCCCGACAGTGGCAGAGAGGGAGAGCTTCCTTGTGGTTCACTCACTAAATGGCTGCAACAGCAAGGAGCCAACAGTTCCATCCTAGACTCTAACGTGGGTACAGGGACTTGGGCCGTCTTCTGTTGCTTTCCCAGGTGCCTTAGCAGGAAGCAGGATGAGAAGCAGAGGAGTAGGGACTCGAACCGGCACTGCTACAGGCTACAGCCGCACCTGCCAGGCCAGCCTCTGTAGCAACAAGCCTCACACTGTCCCCGGGGTGCAGGGGGACATTCCAGAGGGCTGAAGGTGCAGGGGAGCTTTTAGGGACTCAGTTCCAGAGCCTTCACTCCCAGGGTTCATCTTGGCTAAAACTGGAGGCACCCTGGGGGAAACCAGAATTGAAGGGGAGGGACTGTCAGGAATTTCACAAATAGTGTTGGCTGCCAGGGGTGGAGAAAGCAGGGTCCCCAAGATGCCTGAGTGCCACATCGGAAGACTCTGATGTGATCTCTAGCTGCTGGCTGCCGCTCCCCACTGATGCAGATGCTGGAGGCAGCAGTGATGGCTCAAGGGGTGGAGCCCCCACCCGAGACCTGGACTCAAGTGCCTGGCTCCCAGGACTGGTCAGGCTGAGCTCTGACCTTGTGGGCATTTGAGGAGTCAACCAGGAGAGAGGAGCTCTCTTTGTCTGTCATACATAAAACATGTAAAATTCAAATACTCTGCCTTCCATTTCCAAATAAGACAAGAATTAACGCAGGACCCTGTCTTTACCAGACAAGAGATAAGATTCACTTAGGAGTGTGATAATCTACAGAGGGACAATTATGTCCCCGTGTTATTAGCATTAAAGTCCTTTTCTGGTTTTAAAAAAGATACTGTTTTTTTTTAAAGATTTATTTTTATTATTTTTTCATTGGAAAGGTGGATATACAGAGAGGAGAGACAGAGAGGAAGATCTTCCGTCCAATGATTCACTCCCCAAGTGAGCGCAACGGCCGATACTATGCCGATCCGAAGCCAGGAGCCTCTTCCGAGTCTCCCACGCGGGTGCAGGTTCCCAAAGCTTTGGGCTGTCCTCGACTGCTTTCCCAGGCCACAGGCAGGGAGCTGGAAGGGAAGCGGGGCTGCCGGGATTAGAACCAGCGCCCATATGGGATCCCGGGCGTGCAAGGCGAGGACCTTAACCGCTTGAGCCACCGTGCCGGGCCCAAAAAAGATACTGTTTAAGTTATTTTTCATAAGGTGAAACATTTGAAACATTTCAAAAAAACATTTTTTCAAAAAAAAAACCATTTTTTTAACATTTCAATCCATTGGGCTACTAACATTTCTGATCATTTTCAATCCAGAATATTTTTTTTAAACATTTATTTATTTTTATTGAAAAGGCAGATATACAGAGAGGAGAAAAGACAGGAAGATCTTCCATCCACTAGTTCACTATCCAAGTGGCTGCAGTGGCTGGAGCTGAGTGGATCCAAAGCCAGGAGCTTTTTCCAGGGCTCCCACACCGGGGCAGGATCCCAGATCTTTGGGCCATCCTTGACTGCTTTCCCAGGCCACAGGCAGGAAAGCGGGGCTGCCAGGATTAGAACCGGCGCCCTTAAAGGATCCTGGTGAGCTTAAGGCGAGGGCTTTAGCCACTATGCTATCACGCCGGGCCCAATCCAGAATATGTTTTTTTTTAAAGATTTATTTTTTATTATTATTTTTTTTATTGGAAAGGCGGATATACAGAGAGGAGAGACAGAGAGGAAGATCTTCCGTCCAATGATTCACTCCCCAAATGAGCGCAACGGCCGATGCTATGCCGATCCGAAGCCAGGAGCCTTTTCCAGGTCTCCCATGCAGGTGCAGGGTCCCAAAGCCTTGGGCCATCCTCGACTGCTTTCCCGGGCCTCAGGCTGGGAGCTGGATGGGAAGTGGGGCTGCCAGGATTAGGACCGGCGCCCATATGGGATCCCAGGCGTGCAAGGGGAGGATCTTAACCACTGCGCCACCGCGCCGGGCCCCAGAATATGTTATTAACCAACAGAGTTGTGTGGATCATAGGAGGTCAGATGCTCTAAAGTTAGATTTTTGTTGTTGCACAAAAAAAAAAAAAAAAAAGCTGAGATGTCCCTAGAGGCAAAATTCTGTGAGCTGGGGAGATAGATAAGCTTTCTGGGAGAAAAATATATTACACAGGGAGAATTAAAAAAAAAAAAATGCAAAATATCTGAGCCTTGGGACAGGTGTGTGGCAGGCTGGACTGAGCACTGCTTGGCAGATCCACATCCCATATCAGGGTGCAGGTCGGAATCCCGGCTCATCTGCTTCTGATCCTGCTTCTTGCTGATGCATCCTGAGAGCAGCAGGTGATAGCTTAAGCCCTGTGTCACCCAGACGAGCAAGTCTTCTTCGGAAAGTTCATAGAAAATAGAATCAAAAGATTGGTTTATGTGGGTGCGAAAACATCTCAAATAATGGCATCTCAAAAAGTTTGTGGAGGAACCAGTATTGTGGGATGGCACCTGAAGCCTCAGCCTGTGATGTTGGCATCTCATACGGGTGCCAGTACAAGACCTGGCTGCTCCCTGCTGGCACTCCTGGGAGAGCAGCAGAGCATGGCCCAAGTGCTTGGGCCCCTGCACCCACATGGGAGACCCAGATGGAGTTCCAGGATCCTGACCAGGGTTGGCTTGGCCCAACCCTGACCACTGTGGCCATTTGCACAGTGAACCAGCAGATCTCACTCTCACATCTCACTCTCGCTAACTCTGCCCTCCAAAGAAATAAAAAGTCTTTTTTAAAAAGTTGTGAAAATGCACATTAAGAAAGATTATGCATGGATCCCAGATGTTTTTCAAAATAAACCTGTGTTTTAATTCCATTTTCCACAGACTTTTTGAAGTATCCTGATTTCCTCATATCTGGTTTTTCCAAAGTACTTAGGGATGGCAGAGCAGGAGGTATTTGCTGTGTGTCTTACATAACTGAATGTTGGAGGTTTTTATCCTTGAGCGCAGTTTTCTAAAATGCGGATCAGTTCTAGGGGGCGTTCCTGTCCAGCTGGGGACTTGGCATGACCACTGAGCACCCAAGCCTGATTCTGTGTTGTTTTCTTTTTTTTTCTTTGTTTCAGAGAGGTTTCAGTTTAAGTCATGGATGTTGCAGGTCAGTGCCCCGCTTCTTCTTTCTGAAGCTTCTTACTACACAACGCTTCCTCTTTCCAAACTGTAGTGGCTCGAGGCAGCAAAGAGGGGCTTTCCAAGCTCGTGCCCAGGGGTCTTTCCCAGCTCTCAGATGCCCACACACATCCCAGAGAAGATACAATTACGGCAGCTCCTTTCCAGCAGTGGTTCCTGTCCGTGCACCTGGCTGTTAGCCTCTCAATCCTCAATGTTTGCTTTTGGGGCCCCTTGCTTGCATCTGGAGCACACAGCGGTGCAAGTACTTTTGCAACATACCCTCAACCAACCCAGCGCCAAACCCAGGGTCCTTTCTTCTGACCACGTGGATCCCGGCAAGCAGGGAACGGCTTCTTGACTTCTGCACCTCCCAGTGGGGAGACTCACAGTGATGTCTCTCCCGCAGACACAGATCTGGGCTGGGAATCAGAGGCAAAAGGCCAGCTCCATCCTGCCTTTCAGAAAACCAAAAGGGCATTGGAGCACCAGTTTAAACCCCAGCTGCTCCGCTTCCGATCCAACTCCTTGCTGATGCACCTGGGAAAAGTAGCACAAATACTGGGAGACCTGCAATCCACGTGGGAGACCCGGATGGTGCTCCTGACTTCAGCCTGGCCCAGTCCCAGCTGGTGTGGCCATTTTCAGGAGTAAACCAGTGAATGGAAGATCTCTGTCTCTCCTTCTCTTTCTGCAACTTTGACTTTCAAAATAAATATTTTTAAAAAACAAAAGGCAGGCAGATCTCCCTCTGGTGAGCTGCTTACTGGTGGGTGACATAACTTTGACTCCTGATTTTGTTTTAGCACCAGAAAAAATACAGCGCCGAGGAGTACCAACACAGGCTGCAGACTTTTGCCAGCAACTTGAGGAAGATCAATGCCCACAACAGCGGGAACCATACGTTTAAAAGTACTGGGGCTGGGAGGGGCTGGGAGGGCAGCCAGTGGAGTGGGTGGGGGGGGAGGTACTTTCCTCCAGGCTGCACATGATGCTGGGGAGAAGGAAGCATCTTAGGTCTGGACAAATGTCAGCAATGACACGTATAGATAAAAGGGCCTGCTGGCTCAGGCAGCTTGTTGGTGGAGCGGGAGGCAGCCCAGACCAGAAACCAGGCTTGTAGCAGATGGAAGCAAGAAATAGGGATATTCCAACCTGGTCCCCTGGGTCTTTCCAGGCTCCTGTACACTGGAGAAGATGCAGTTACCTAAGATCCTTTCTTCTCAGCGGTGGTCCCCAGGCATGCACCTGGCTGCCAAACCTCATCCTGTCTGTATCCAGAGCAGGCTGTGGCCTGGTGACTGAGTCACTGGTGCGTGAGCTTTTGCTCCTTTGGGGCACTAACTGGTCCCAGCACCTGCCATGGGATCCTGGGGTGATTTCCCCATCAGGGCACCCTGGGGTTTGTGGAGGGACTGACAGACTGACTGTCAGCCAACATTAGGGCAGTTGCAGGGAGGGTCCCTACAAGCTCCTTGCATGGTGGCCCCCTCGGGGAGGACAGCATTGTCAACCTTCTGGGCAGCAGTGAAACTTACCAAGACTCCGTAGGAGCCCCACCCTGTTCCTTCACACCCAGACACACACATCTGAAGAATTCTTCCCAAAGTCTAGGAAGTTATCTTGTAATTCCCCTGAGCATGAACTTTCCAAAATGCCCTGATACTAGGGAGGATTCCAGATACATGAGGGCAATGAAGCTAGCTTGATACAATGGATGACAAAGAGGGACTGAAGGAACATTGGTTGGATGCCAGCTTCTGCCCCTTGGGGATGTTAACGTGGGCTGTAGCATGGACAGGATCTGTTCATTTGGCCAGCTACTATGAAGCTGGGATCAGAGACAGACCGGCAGTTCCTTACCTGGCTGTCTAGCAGGCTCACCCATGGGGTATCTAAAATATATAGGTGCTCCAGCCCCACCTGAGGCCACTCGCATCGGGGTTCCAGGGGTACCGGTGGCCGCCCAGACACCTGTACTGTTGAAAAGCTCCCCCCGGCAATCCTATAGCACAGTGCCTGCCTGCCTGCCTGCCTGCCTGCCAGCCCCTGCATCCTGAGCCAAGTTCAAGTTGAGGATGTAAAGGGACCAGGTTGCAGCAGCTCTGAAAACATGGGTGCCCCTGGGTGTTCGTGATTTTGTTTTTTCTTTTCTTGATTTGGAATTCCTTATGGACCTCTTGTTTTTCTTCCATCTCCTTCTCTTCTTCAGTGGCCCTGAACCAATTTTCAGATATGAGCTTCGCCGAAATAAAGCAGAAGTATCTGTGGTCGGAGCCTCAGGTGAGCAAGGGCTTTCACCCACACCTGTTGTAGGATTGCTCTGCTCCTTCCAGCCATGGTCAGAGTTGTCCCTGGCCATAGCCGGCAGAGCAGATTGGGGAGGGTTCCTGGATTTCGGGGGTTGGGGGCACAAAGGAGGAGTGAAACTCCTTCGCCTGAGAGCAGCCAGCTCCCAGTCCAGGCCTTACTCTGACTCAGGGTCGCCAGACCGAAGAACACAGAAACCCAGGAAGGACCAGAATGGTGACCTAACATGCTAATCCTCTACCTGCTTGCATTAGCATCCCATGTGGGCGCCGGTACACGTCCCAACTGCTCCACTTCCCATCCAGTTTCCTGCTTGTGGGCTGGAAAAGCAGTAGAGGATGGCCCAAAGCCTTGGGATCCTGTACCCACGTAGAAAACCCAGAAGAAGCCTCTGGCTCCTGACTTTGGATCAACTCAACTCTGGCCATTAGAGCCATTTGCAGAGCAGCTGGGACACAAACTATTGCCCATATGGGATCAGGCACTTGTAAGGGGTAAACCATCCAATTGAGCCATTGCACCAGGCCCACATCAGTATATGCTAAATACTGCATGGGTCACTGCAAAGGTAGTCATCGCCTCCCTGGCAGGCCAAGGGAAACAAGCAAGCCTTTGGTCTGCTCGGTCCAGCCACCCAGCCTCACTGCCCCCAGGCTCTCAAGGGGCCGCCCGGGGGTAGCATGTGGGATCAGCACATGGGAGGGTTGCCAGCCACAGTCTCTCTCCCTCTTTCCACGTTCTATTTTTCGTTGGGTAGTTTTTCCCATGCTGAACTGAACACCAATGTCCTTCTAGAACTGCTCGGCCACCAAAAGCAACTACCTGCGTGGCACCGGTCCCTACCCCTCCTCGGTGGACTGGCGCAAGAAAGGGAATTTTGTCTCGCCCGTGAAAAATCAGGTGTGTGTGTGGCAGTCCTCGTCCATCTTCTCTCCCACTCTGTCCCCCAAGTTATCCACTGCATTCTCAGAGGAGACCCAGGGATGGCACCCACCCATTCCCCCCCGACCCGCGTCCCAGGGAGACACAGAAGTTTCTGTTAAAGAGGGGGAAAGGGAGTGAGCTCCTCTCCAGCCCCACCCAACAGCTCCAGGTCTCCCACAGCCACCAAAAGCATCCTGTTCCCTGTGCCCGTCAGAGACCCCTGCACTGCCTCCCTGCAGGTCAAATACAGTGGGGTTGGAGAGGGCCAGAGCCCAGGTCGCAAGCCCTGTGGGCCTCTCAGCCTTCTGTGGACCTTCTCCACAAGACACCCCAGGCCACAGTCCCCTGATTCTGGGAATCGGGAGCTTCTGGTTTCCTTCCCAGAAACCCTCGTGCCAAGTCTCCTGGCTCAGTACCCAGTCCTCCCAGCCAGCCACATGCCCAGAGCCTGTGCCGAGGGAGCTGGAGCAATCCCAGTTGCTCAAGAGGAAGTGGACAGAGCAGGGCCTGGCCCCATCCCTGTGACCTGGTGTGACTGTCGGAGCCGCAGAGAACCCGTGGTGATCCCACGCGGTAACTCCAGGGGTGAAGCTTAGCCCAGTTCATCCTTAGCACAGGCGGCAAGGGGCAGTCTGCCAGGAATTCTCTGAATCTGCCTCTGCTGGGATGCCAAGCTACCAGGGCCAAGCAGAGACAGGGCGAGGCTCCTGGGTTCTCTTAGAGTGGCCCGATAGAGTGACATTTGCCTGGCCACATGGCTGGTGCCTGTCAGAAGCATGACTTAAGCCTAGCAGGTCCAACCCTAACCCTTGAAGTCTTTCTGGAGATCCAGGATGTCAGGGGCATCTTGAATTAGAGGAGGGTCTGGTGGTGTCTGGGTCTGGTGGAGGTCAAGGCTGAGGCAGGATTTGGGGAATAGGTGGAAAAGTGAGACAGAAGCTTCTAGAAACAAAACTGTTGCTATTTTCTGAGAAACTGGAGGAGAGGAGCCAGCTGGAGCTGCAGCAGGAGTTCCAGGCCCTGTGGGATGGGCAGCAGGGGTTACAAGAGGCTGGGGCCCAGACTGCACAGCACCACCCAGGGCCTGCCGTCCCCGCTCCCCCGACACTCTGTTGCGTCACCTGTGATGTGGGGAAGTCACCGGCCACTCAGGACCTGGGAGGCTCCAAGGGGGCAAAGCCAGAACAGGGTGGGGACAGGGGTATTGAGTGGAAGGTGTTCCAGAACACCCACGGGGTCAGGAGGGCAGACGGCGGAGCGTTGCTCATGTCTGACTTGCTCTGTGCCCCCGGTTTCCGCAGGGAGCCTGCGGCAGTTGCTGGACCTTCTCCACTACAGGGGCCCTGGAGTCAGCCGTGGCCATCAAGAGTGGCAAGATGCTGTCTTTGGTAAGACCTCTGCGCAGGCCGGGGTGCTCCATTTCCTTGGGGGCTCTGGCCAGAGTGGGACCACGAGTAACTGTGCCCTGACCCCAAGAATGACAGGCAGTGGTCCTGCAGAATCATCCCACCCCCAACCATGTCTAGGGAGGGAAGAGAACACGGAGCAAGGCTTAGCTGGCGAGGAGGTCAGGGCCCTGGGCTGAAGACAGGAAGCAGCCAGGTCTCTGGCTAGGGTATCCCCCTCTCTGGGCACGTACCATGTGCACACAGCTGCAGGCCCTGGAACCCATTGGCACTGCCTCACAGTACCTGCGTGGTTGCCAGATTCCAACAGTTAAAAGCCCATCTTAGCAGATGCCAGCTGCAGGACAGGTGGTTAGGGACACTCAATGACATCCCTGCCCATAGGAGGCAGGGGGCAGCAAGGACCAGGCGGTGTGGCCTCAAAGTTTTCCGCTTCTCTCCCTCCAGTCGGAACAGCAGCTGGTGGACTGCGCCCAGAACTTCAACAACCACGGCTGCCAAGGGTACGTCCTCAACCAACCAGAAGGGGCCAGGAGCCCTTCTTGCATCTGTCTGTCCCATTGGTCATCTCACTCAGTCCTGGTGCTGCCCTTAGAAGACACTGCCCCAAGGGCAGGGGCAAGCAAAACCACCACCATTTTGCTGAAGGGAAGTCATCTTGTATGGCCAAGGTCGCCCATCCAGAGCCGGCAGAGCTGGCAGAGCTGGGCCAGGCCTGTGTGTGCTGGTTCCCACCCCCTACATGCAGCACTGGGGCCCTTGGGCAAGAGGCCAAAAACAGAACAGAACAGAACAGAACAGAATGAGAAATCTGTAACTCCACGGCATCCTCCAAACCCCAGTCCCGCACTGGGGAGTCTGGCTGACCATGCTGTGTGAGCGGCGGCCACTGGAAGTGACTCCGCCATCTGCCCAGCTGCATGTGTGTGCCCGAGAGCTGTGCCCTTATTGGACCAGCTTTCCTGGCCCAGCATGTGAGGAAACCAGGCCTGTGCTTGCCCTGTCCAGGTGCCTGCTTGGACCTCCATCCCTCAAGCCCCAGCCACAATGACCCCTTGCCTCTTTCCTGTCTGTTGTATCCTGGGAGGATGCATGTGCACCTCCTGCTCTGGGCAGCAAAGTCCAGGGCACCTAACAGGGAAGCTTAGGGACCCTCATGTCGGAAACTCCTGCCTTCTGCTTTTTGTGGACATGCTGGAGTCACACACAGTAGGGAGACAGCACCCAGTAGAGCCTTGCAGCTGGCTCAGGCAGTTTCCAATGTGTCAGGTGGTGGCACCTGCTGTGGAGACATGAAGGGATGGGCAGGGATGGCAGGAGCAGCTGCTGGATTTGTGTTGACTCCCCGGGAGGCAGTGTGAGAAAGCAGGAGCTCCAGTGTGCAAACCAACTCCAGCTTCAGCCGCGCGGCCCTTGGCAGGTGTTTGGCCTCTTTTGAGCCTCAGCAGGTGACAGCATCTACCCAGCGGGGCTGACTTAAGGAGTCCTGCAGTCAGCTGTACGGGTAGCTGGTCAGGCAGGTGCCATGGCTGTGGCTGTGTGCCCGGCAGATCCCTCCAGCCCTCCTGTGGACCCGGCTGTACCCCTGACACGGGCCCAGCTGCCTGGAGACTGTTCCCTCACAGAAACACCTAACCGGCCTCACCTGGGTTGGCTGAGCTTTCTGCCGAAGTGAGGCAAATGGCCTCAAAGACCCACAGACTCCAACTCTGCCACAAATGTCCAACCAAGACCCCAACCCATCGGGTTCTGGCCCAGCGAGCCCCACCCCTGTGTCTCAGTGATCCCAGGGGAAGGCTTCCTCTGAGTGTACTTTAAGAAAAAAAAAATTGTTTTTTACTTGACTTATTTTAAAGGCACAGAGATAAAGAGTTCTTCCTTTCACTGGTTCACTCCCTAGATGCCCACAACAACTGGGCTGGACCAAGCCAGAGCCAGGCATTCAGAATTCAGTCTGCTTCTCCCACATGGGGGTGGCAGGGACTCAATACTACAGCCCCCATCCGATGCGTCCCAGGGTGCCCCTTGGCAGGAGGCTGGATCAGAAGCTGTGCTGGGGCTGGAACCCAAAACCATGTGGGTGTCCCAGGAAGGTTCTTCTTTTTTTTTTTTTTTATTTATTTATTTATCCTTATCGGAAAGTCAGATATACAGAGATGAGGAGAGATCTTCTCTGTCCGCTGATTCACGCCCCATGTAGCCACAGTGACCAGAACTGAGCTGATATGAAGCCAGGAGCTTCTTCCAGGTCTCCCACACAGCTATGGGGTCCCAAGGCTTTGGGCCATCCTCAACTGCTTTCCCAGGCCATAAGCAGGGAGCTGGATGGGAAGCGGGACCAGTGCCCATATGGGATCCCAGCGAGTGATAAGAACCAGTGCCCATATGGGATCCCAGCGAGTGCAAGACGAGGACTTTAGCTGCTAGGCCACTGCGCCGGCCCTCCCCCCCCCCAGACAGGATCTTAAATATGTGTGTGTGTTTTTGCAGGGGCCTCCCCAGCCAGGCCTTCGAGTATATCCTGTACAACAAAGGCATCATGGGTGAAGATAGCTACCCCTACAGGGCCATGGTAATTCTCTCTCTCTCGTGTATCCCAGCTCCAGCCTGCCCCAGCCCCAAGAAACACCTGCTTCCCACCCGCATCTGGCTCCCCTCCCTCCACTCGAAGTGTGCCTGTTCTTGCGCCTGTCAGGGCCCCCACCCACGCTGCTACTGGAGGAGCCCAGCCTGGCCCCAGCCATGCTCCTAATGCCCCCCAGATCCTCTGGGAGGGGCACAGCCAACCCTCCTATAGTACCTGCTGGCTCCTGGCTGTCCTGTCCCTGAGCTCTCTCCAGCTGACCATCGGAGGCCCCTACCTGGCTCAGATCCCAGCCTCCCTTCAGGCCACTCACTCCCACCTCCACCCACACCTCTGCCTTGCCTGTGCTTTCCTGCTCAGAACCCCCGCAAAGCCAGCCCAACCACTTACTGCTTCCTAGACACCAGGTCCTGGATCCCTGGGGCTAGCACTCTTCCTGGGACTCAGGCAAACCATCCCCTTCCCCACCCCCCAGCCCCACAGCACTGTGTGTGCCCACCGGCCCCTGTCAGGGGCAGCGCCATAAGCTAGCTCACTGAAGACAGTGGAAGTGACCCCATAGCCAGGCCCTGACACCTGTAGCTACCTTTTGCTTGGTCAGTGTCATCCCACTGTCGGCGTGGGGAGGCCAAGCGTCCCTAACCAGCATCCCATGCCCCTTGCTGCCTGCACAGGAAGGACGTTGCAAGTTCCAGCCCCAGAAGGCCATCGCGTTTGTCAAGGACGTAGCCAACATCACACTGGTGAGGCCCGAGTCCTGGGGACGCCTCACTGTGACTGAATCCCTGTGGCCATGGCAGCAGCGAGGTGGAGTTGGGAGGGAGATGGGGCTGTGCCTCTCCATCCAGGATGCACACAGCCTCATGCCTGGGGTTCTGGCCTCTCGCAAGCATGTGCGTGAGGTCCGCATGGGTGTGTGTGCTCTCACGTGTGTGTGGCAGTCCAGGCAGTCCATGGGTGTCTGTGTGCGTGCATGGGGCAGTTCACACGGGTATCTTGTGCACATGTGTGGCATCCACACAGGTGTATTAACACACACATTCGCAGTATCTGCATGGATGTGTGTTGGTATGCATGGCAGTGGCATGGGTGGGTGTGCACTCAGGGTGATGGAGGCCATCTATGGGTGTCACGATCAGAATAAGCAAGAGTCTGTTGTACGAGGACACCAGCCTCAAACTGGGTGGCTTGGGGCAGCCGGTGTGTACGCAGGCCCTCCTGTGAGCTGTCCACCCGACCTCATCCCCAGAGCCGGGCAGAGAGTAGCACAGTTCCATGATCACGAGAGAGAAGACAGAGCTGGGCCAGGGTGCGGTGTGACTTCTGGGGCAGGGTGGGCGGATGTGTATGAGCCACGTGGGAATTTCCCCGTGGGCGCGTGCAAGGGAGAGGTATGCGGAGTGTGTGGGTGCTAAACATGGAACAAGCCAGAGACCCAAAGATGGTCAACAGCCGCCACCATCCACTGCAGACACCCGGGGCTCCTGACGATGTCAGTGTGGGCTCTGGGCCATGCAACCTTGCAATGACCTGTGGGGGAGGAGTGATGAGTGCTGGTTGACCTCATTTTATAGATGAGGTCACAGAAGCCCACTCAGACTGCTGAAGTCATGTGCCCGAGGCCACAGGACTGGGAGGCTGCAGCATTCCAGAACCAGGGCCACAGTTTGGGGCAGGGATGTTCCATCTTCCCTTGTCTAGACAGCTGGCTGGATCCCACGGAGAGCCGTCCAAAGGATTCAGGGGGCACCCCGATGCCTGGTCCCCAGGACAGCCTCAGGGCACACCAGGGCACAGCCAACAGGGAAGAGCTTGGGGCCAGCCACAGAGGGCACACCAGCCCTGTTCTGGCTGCTCACCAGACTCTGACCCCAGCGCAGGCAGGCAGGAAGCTGCGCTTTGCTTTGCCAGGCCCTAACCTGTTTCCACCATGGTCAGGGTCTTACCTGCTGGTGGACTTCCGGCCACTGCTGCCTTTGCGGGCAAGAATAGGGGGTTTCTGCATCAATCAGAGCCCGGGTGGGCTGTGAGTGATGGAGTGTGTTGGGGGAGCAGGGGAGTGAGGAAGGAAGGTAAGGGGCAGCCCAGGGCCCAGCTGAGCAGAGGGGCGAGGCTGTAGGGGAGCCAGGCTGGTCTGGAAGGAAGTTGTATAAGCCGCAGTCATGCGGGCACCCGTGCTCCACACTCAGGCTGAGCTACAGGGAGGGGATATTCTGCGTGGATCTGGGCCTCTTGCCCCATCCACACGTGGAGCCAGGCAGGGCAGCGATAGAAGCCAGGCGTGTGTGTCCACAGAATGACGAGGAGGCCATGGTGGAGGCTGTGGCGCTCTACAACCCCGTGAGCTTCGCCTTTGAGGTGACCGATGACTTCATGCTGTACAGGAGCGGCATCTACTCCAGGTGAGTGGGCGTGGGGTCCACCCAGGCCACAGACACTGAACTACTGGAGGCTTCTCCACCCCCTAGCTGCCTGCTTTGTTTTCAGTTTCTGTTTATTTATTTGAGACACAGAGGAAGAGCTCCCACTTGCTAGTTTGCTCTCCAGCCAGGGCCACCCAGTCCAGCACTCCCTTCCCCCATCTCTGCCCCATCCACCTGCTCTGTCCTCCAGCTGCCTCCCACTGGTTTGTGTTGGTCTTTGAGTCATTCTCCCTGCCTAATGGCCCATCCTTCACCCAGAGCCACCTCTGGCCATGCCAGCCAGGATCTTCCAACTGCCTCATGGCAGGACTTGAAACTCCCTCTGGGTCTCTCCCTGGTGCAATGGTATCATCAGCTTGGCCATCGTCTGCCGCCTCCCAGGCACATTAGCAGGAAGCTGGAGCGAAGCAGAGCTGCCTGAACTCACGCTGATGCTCTTAATATGGGATCAGATGTGGGCACTGCAGGTCACCACCTTAACTCATGATACCACAATGCCAGCCGCCCCTCCCATTTTTATTTTTGTTTGAAAAGAGAATAGAGGATCTGAGAACAAGAGAGATGTTCCAACCGTTAGTTCACTCTCCCAATGCCCACAGCAGCTGAGGCTGGGCCAAGGCCAAGTCAAGAGCATAGAACTCAGTCTGGAGTTGGCAGTATGGCGGCAGGTACCAATCCCTTGAGCCATTCCCTACTGTCTGTCATTGTATGCATGAGCAGGGAGCTGGATGGGAAGCAGAGGAGCCAGTACTTAAACCTATACTCTGTAATAGAAGGTGCAAGAGGCATCCCACCCCTTAACTTCTCTGTTAGCTCTATTGCCCCACAGACTTTTAAAGTTTCCTCCTCCAAGATCTACACTATATCAAAGCCATGATGAGTTCAATTCTGTCTGATCCCACCCCCCTATAGCAGGTGCACCAGAAGGCTGCCCTCCCTGGAATGGCCAATGGGGACTAGAAAGTTCAGGGTGCTGGAGTGGGACGAGCTCTACCTGCTGCCTTGCCCCTGTTTCCCAGTGGGGACAGAAGGACCCACAGAATAGAGAAGGGTGATTTGTTGGCACAGGAATCAGTGAAGTGACCTGGCTTACCTCCAGGCTTGCCCCACCCCCTCGCCCTTAATCAAGACCCGTGGCTCCAGCTCACTGGACAGACAGGGTGGGTCAGTCACTGCATGGCTCCTTCCCCTGTCGCCAACCCTTCTCTCCTTTGTCCCCTAGCACTTCCTGTCACAAAACCCCAGATAAAGTGAACCACGCCGTGCTGGCTGTCGGCTATGGTGAAGAAAACGGGATACCCTACTGGATCGTGAAGAACTCTTGGGGTCCCCACTGGGGGATGAATGGGTAAGCAGCTTCCAGGTCCTGTTGCTGCAGGGATGGGGCCATGGGGGAGGGGGTGTGCTGCTCAGTCTGGCTGCCTCACCACAAAATCCTGAGCCTGACCTGGGGGTGATGCCCGAGCCCCTTGGCCCCTCGGAGCCCTTCCAAGAACCCCAAGTCTTGATGAGTCTGCAGAGGAGATGGTCCTGTGGGCCCGGAAGCATCTGTAGCAGGCAGCTGGCATCTGGGCGGATGACAGGTTCTTCCCCCAACACTGAACATGAACATGGGAGCTCCTGTTGAAGCGGAAAGATGGACTGGAGCCAGGAGGCTGGGTGTATCTCCATGTGGTTATGACTCTTTGTCCCTTCTCCCTGCTCCTGTACTTTAGGGGTGAGGTGGGGTGTTGGGGAGTCCCAGTGCCACTCTAGCAGCTGTGTGAAGGCCTAGCCACAGCTGTCCATTAGTGCCAGGGCATGTGGGGAAGGAAAGGACCATAGGACAGTTCATATGGAGGGAAGGCTGGACTGTTCACAAAGCCAAGGCAGCCCCCCTGTTGCCAGACTATATCCAGAAAGTTCTGTTGCTGGCATGAGCTCTCCGTGGGCAGCAGAACCTTCCAGAAAGTCCTGAGGGGCTGGAGCTGCCAGGCAGGCCTCAGTGCCCTCTTTCTTTCTCTGTCTCTGCAGGTACTTCCTCATCGAGCGTGGGAAGAACATGTGTGGCCTGGCCGCCTGCGCCTCCTACCCCATCCCCCTGGTGTGAGCCGGGGTCTGGCCCATCGCAGGAGACCTAGGCCCAGAGAGAGCTGCAGCTGTGGGGCTGCCAGAGGAGGGCGGTCCCTGGATCAGCAGGTGCACCCAGGGAAGACCAGGAGGAAGGAGGAGCCCATAACACCTGCAAGTGACCCACTTTTCACACACACACACGAGACTGTCGTCGACACCAGCCATGTCCAGCCCACTCCCACCAGAGAATGTTCTGTGTTCTTATCCAATAAACACTGAGTGCCTGTACTCACACTGGGGGTGCTGTCTGGGGAGGGAGGGTGGTGGGTTGCAGGTGGCACTGCCCACCTCCTTGGGGTCCCCAGAAGGAAAGATGAGTTAGATCTGAAATCTAGATTTTTTTTTTTTCTGTCTGCACCTGGGGAGGGAAGGGGAAGCCAGCTGAGCTCTGGCAGTTCCAGATCCCAGCCTTAGATCCCTACCCCTACCCAGGCTGGGACTCCTGCCCTCCAGGGAAAACTGCCCACCCCGCCCCTCACCCTCATGTGCCCAGGGCTGCAATCATCTATACCATCCTCCTTGTCCTCTTTTTAAATTATTATTTGAAAGGCAGAGTTAGGGAGAGACAGAGAAGGGTCTTCCATCTGCTGGCCCACTCCCCAAAGAGCCACAACTATTTGGGCTGGGCCAGACTGAAGCCAGGAGCCAGCAGCTTCATGTACACCTGCCACTTGGTCCATCCTCCACTGCTTTCCCAGGTGCGTGAGCAGGGAGTTGTATCAGGAGTGGAGCAGCCAGGACTTGAACCGGTGGCACCCACCTGTGGGAGGCCCGTGTTGCAGGAGGTTAGCAGCTTCACCAGCCACACCGTGATGTCAGCCCCTCCCCGCCCTGTTGATGGGTCCTGGGCACCACTCCAAGGTTAACCCCTGAGTGCCAGAGACCAGCTGCAGCCAAGTTCGGAGTTTGGGAAGGGTGCGTGCATTGGTGAGAAAGAATAAGACACGTGGACCACTTTTAAAAAGCTGCCACCTTTAGTTATACAAAAATCATCACAAGCTTGTGCACACATCCAATTGTTTCACTTTTCACGGTTAAAAGAATACAAAAACAATTCTAAAAAACATCATTATCATGTTACTTCAAAGAAAACATTTTCAGTAAGCCATTACTCATTCAAACCTGCAGTCACCCGGCTAAAGCCAACTCCACAGCTGGCAGCACAGGCAGTTACATAGTGACAGGTGGCTTACTTATGTCCAAAATCAATTTTCAGTAAACCCAAACTAATATTACTTTAAAAAAGCAAGACTACAAAATTAAAAAGAAAGCTTATAAATGAAAGAAATTTATAAGGACAATATCATAGATTCTTATTAAATCTTACAATCAATGATATACTCGCTGTATCACCTTCACCTAGTACTGATGCAATTGTTTTTGTTCTTTTGTTAAAGGGCAGTGGGAAGGATCAAGGCACTTGGCCTTTCTATGAATGGAGAGCCTTCACAAGCTTTTTTATCTTTTTTTTTTTAACTATGTTCTTTCTCTAAATGCCAATATAAGGTGAAAGTTTCAAACCATTTTCCTCTAGGGGCTCATAGCATTTATCTCCCTTTTAGAAGGTGCCCCGTGTACTTTTGCTTTATGTGGTAGGAAGCCAAGGTAACTGCGTCATTCCATGTGTTGCAGGAGTTCCAGGCTGCGTAGTAAACAAATTCTTTGTACCTCCATGATTGCCATCTGTTCTAAGATATTATCAAGTCATTTCTTAAGGAGAACATTATGTATCTTAGGTTCCAGGACAAAGGTGGGAATACAAAAACGCGTTTGGGAACAATATAGGCTCAATTGTGCCACTGTATGCTTTTATATGTTTCTATGTCTTAAGTTGCTAAAGACCCTTTTGCCATAACATGATTGATAAAATCATATTTCCATAAAATATCAAGAGGCGATTGAGTGTCCATACAATGGGGTGAGGCAACAATGAGGTGTTTAGACAGATATTCTGCCAGGCCTTGCCACGCAGCCAGACTCCTCGCAGCCTTGCTAGCTGAGGAGCCGTGCCCATGCACGCGGTGCCATCTGCCCCAGCTGCATGGCTTCCCACACTTGAGGTCAGGGCTGCTTCCTGGGGCCTGGGCTCAGGGCCCTCTGCAGGACGAAAGCCTTGTGAAGATGTTCATGATGAGGCTTCTCTGGAAAGTGCAAGTCAAATGTGCTTTCATCTCTAGAAAATTCTAGTAATGGGGCTATTGACCAACAGTCAGCAGTCCACACATATGACTATTGACTCGACGCATCAAGTTTGCCCATGAACAGGGACTGAAGAGCAGATAGAAAGTGCGACCAGGCCCGGCGTGGTGGCCTAGAGGCTAAAGTCTTTGCCTTGAACGTTCTGAAATCCCATTTGGGTGCTGGTTCTAACCCGACTGCTCCACTTCCCATTCAGCTCTCTGCCTGTGGCCTGGGAAAGCAGTCGAGGACGACCCAAAGCTTTGGGACCCTGCACCTGTGTGGGAGACCCAGAAGAGCTCCTGGCTCCTGGCTTCAGATCAGCTCAACTCTGGCCATTGCAGGCACTTGGGGAGTGAATCATTGGACAGATCTTCCTCTCTGTCTCTCCTCCTCTCTGTCTATCTGACTTTGCAATAAAAATAAATGTAAATCTTTAAGATAATAATAAAATGCACTCATTGACTTCTAACAGAAAAGACACATTCCTTGAGAGTACAATTTTAGCTTAGTTTTTGTTTTGTTTTGTTTACCTATTGCTGCCATTAACATAAAACTTCAGAGACCAAAGCCTTTGGGGGAACCCAAATTAATATCTAGATGACAGCACACTGCTTACAATCCCCACTGGGAAATACATAAACCAAGGTAGCCCCAGGGACGGAACGGACCTGCCCCAAGGCCCCCAGCTCCTGCAGAAGCCTGCCTGTCACCACACCTCGCTCCATCCAAGCCGCTCCCACCATGCGCGGGCTTGGCAACAGCCAACAGGACCACGAGATAAAGCGCTGCTGGTCAGTGCCCTTTCCACTCTCAGTGCAGGTGCAAGACTGCAGCTCACTCTCCAAATCAGACAAGTTTCCAAGAAAGAAAGAAAACAGTGTCACCAAAAGAAAACATAAACACCAGCTTCTGTGTTCTTTTGCACTGTAACTCCGCTAGACTAGTCAAAGTGTTGAAAGCGGAGTGCTATTTACATGACTTATTTTTCCACGCCCCTCCCTGCCCCCCGAAACAGGGAAACAGAAAATACAGAAACAATGATCACACCCACTTTTCCCTAATCCTTGATCCATCCCACTCTGTGTTATTATCCAAAATTAAAAATAAATTTTAGGACCCGGCACCGTAGCCTAAAGGCTAAAGTCCTTGCCTTGCACACACTCCGGGATCCCATATGGGCTCCAGTTCTCATTGCAGTAGCCCCATTTCCCACTCAGCCCCCTGCTTGTGGCCTGGGAAAGCAGTCAAGGACGGCCCAAAGCCTTGGGACCCCGCAACTAAGTGGAGAGACCCAGAGGAGGTTCCTGGCTCCTAGCTTCGGATCAGCGCAGCACCAGCCATTGTGGTCACTTGGGGAGTGAATCATAGGATGGAAGATCTTTCGCTCTCTCTCTCCTCCTCTATGTATATCTGACTGTCCAATAAAAAAAAATAAATCTTTAAAAAAAAAGGATTTATTTATCTAAAGGCAGAGTCACAGAGAGGGAAAGAGGTGGTCCATCTGCTCATTCACTCCCACAACTCCCACAACACCTGGAGGTGAGTCGGGCCACGGTCAGGGGCCGGGAACTCCACTCAGGCTCCCAGGCAGGGACTGGAGCTGCTCCCACAGCGAACTTAGACGTGATGGAGTCCCCTGCGGATGGCCAGCGGTGTCGGTGGCGCCCTCTGGCGACAGAGTCAGTACCAGTGGGCCCCTGGGCCCCTGGGCCCCAGTATGGAAGTCCTGGTGTGACCATGAAGGACCAAGGCCACTGGTGGATGCAGACAGCATGATGATGGGGTCACCAGTACCTAAAGGCATTAACAGGAAACTCAACGCTAATGACAGAGGCTGGGAAGTGGCTATTCACACAGACATGGCAAATCTCAGAATTAAAAGCAGTAGAATTCCTGAGGCAAATGTGTCATCAACAGCCACAAAACTATGAGCCAAGAAGGATCACCAAAAATCCTCCAGTATCAGGGCCGGCTCAATGGCGCAGCGGCCTAATTCTCCACCCTGTGATGTTAGCACTCCATGTGGTTGCCAGTTCTAATCCCAGCTGCTCCACTTCCCATCCAGCTCCCTGCTTGTGGCCTGGAAAGGCAAAATAGGATGGCCCAAAGCCTTGGGAACCTGCACATGCATGGAAGACCTGGAAGACACTCCTGGCTTCAGATCAGATCAGCTCTGGCCATTGTGACTCTTTGCGGAGTAAACCAGCGGTTGGAAGATTCTCTATAAAATAACAAATGCAGCAGAAGGTTATGCAAGTAGCTGGGTCCCTGCCACCCATATGGAAGGCCCGGTGAAGCGCCTGGCTTTAACCTGCCCCAGCCCCAGCCGTTACAACCACTTGAGAAGTGAACAGGACAATGGAAGATCCATCTCTCTTCAGGCCCCTCTTTCTGTCTCTCATGGGTGCCTGGGCAATTCACAAGAGCAGTATTTTTAAAACTTGATTGGCTGATTTGAAAGGCATAGGGACAAACAGAGAGACAGATCTTCCCTCTGCTGGTTCACTCCCCAAATGGCAGCAACTTCCAGGGCTGAGCCAGGCTGGAGCCAGGAGCCAGAAACTTCATATGGGACTCCTATGTGGATGGCAGGGCCCCAAGGATTTGAACCATACCTGATGTCATTGAAGACACATCAGCAGGAAGCTCAGTTGGAAGTGGAGTAGCTGGGACTCAAACCGACGCTGTCATGTGGGATGTGGGTATTACAAGCATCAGCTTAACCTGTTGCTTTTTATTTTAATCATTTTTTTATAGATCTTGATGTATTTTTAAAGCACTTAGAAGGGATGGTCTGTAATTAGAGTGGTAGAGGGTTTAAGCTAGAGACAGAGAATGAATTTCATTATGGGGGAAGTCAAAGTTATGAGAGTGCAAACTCAGCCTCAGAGGCTCTGGAGGAAAAGCTGTGAGACAAATATCAAAGTTGTTAGAATCGGGGCCGCATTGTGGCACAGCACGTCCTGGCTGCTCCGTTTCCTGGTCCAGCTCCCTACGAATGTGCCTGCAGAAAGCAGCAGCAGATGGCCCAAGTCGGGGAGACCCGG